TATAACTCGTTATTAAGTATTTTTAAGTAGTTAGTAAGTGAAGTTAAAAAAATATAGAAGCATTATACTTAACACTGATTTTCATTAATAAAATGTTGATAATTACTTTATCATTAAGTTCACTAACTAATATGACAATTAGTAAGTGAAATACTTAAATAAAAATTGGAGAATTATACTTATTACTAATTTTCATTAACAAAAATGTTATTAGTTACTTTATCATTGTTTTAATTCTTCATTCATATACTATTTTTATATAAGATCTTAAACATCCGCGGATGTGAACCTTCAAAAATCCGCATCCGCATTCACATCCGCGGATGTGAAAAAATCGGCATCCGCAACATCCCTGGTATATTGTTTATTTAAATTTTGTTTATTTGTTTATTATTATTGTTATTTTAATTATGCTTTTGACATCTTTGTATAGTTGGAAGAATTTTTTTTTGTTGCTGTTTTAATGATTTGATATGATAAATTTTTATATGTAAAATTTTGTAAAGCTGAAATTTCTAGCAATAAGCAAAGAATGTTGGTCACGGCCCATACATGCTGTGACCTGAATATAAAATATCGCGAACATGACTAGTGTATGGATTAATCTGTTCCCCTAGGCACAATCACCATTCCTAAATTGAAAATATATTATTTATAAGCCGAGGATCATAGAACATTACACTTATGTATTTCGTCACTTTTCCATGACTAAAACTTCACCTAAAACCATTGATATAAAAATAGAGTAGAACATAAAAATGCCTCCTATAATATATAACCTAGTAAACAATAAACACTTTGGACAGCTCTTACTCATAATACGACAGACTAAACAGAGAAATAGAGATACTCATGATACATTCCATTCTAACTATTAGTACATTTTATATTAACTATCAACCTATAATTTGCAACTCATTTTGGAATACTTAATCCATATCCCCATCTAAAAAGAATGTGACTGAAAATAAACTACAAAAATAAATAAAAAATCTACTGTAAAATCTAGTATTTTAAAAAGTTTATGCATAAAGGTAGTGTTACTTTAATGTTATAATGAAACATGTACCACAGATAAAAACGGGACTGGTTTAGATGCATTCAAAACCTATAAAAATTAGTAAGGAAATGAAGTTTATATTACAAAGCTAACTTATTTCACGGGTTTCATTTCATTTCATTAATAAATTGGATACACATAATTCACTATTACTACAAGCTATTTCTAATTTGTCTTGTCGTTAATTGTAAATGTAAAATGATTGTAAGCTATTATTTGAAAAAAAAAAAATAGTCCCGCTGCTTTTCTTGCTGGTTCTTCCCAGGACAGAGGTTTTTTTTTTGCGAACCAGTGGTAAATGAAAAAAGTGACTTTCAATAAGTATTGTTTATAATCTAAGTATATTGACTAAAAAAGTTTTTGTTCCTGTTTCTATTGGTGGTCGTTTCTTATTTTGGTCAGATAATATTTGACCCGTGTTCTTTGGATGTCTCCATTATGGACTTAGTATGTAATACATAGTATTTAATAATATCTCAAGTAAAGCTATGGCTTCATTAAGGATTAAGAGTAATAACTTTTAGTTGGCACAGTTGAAAATTATTAAATGATATGAAAGAATGAATTTTGTTCTTATCCAAATTTTTTGTAAATTATGCTCACTAATAAATAATCTTTATATACTCGCATAATTCTTCTATCTGTGTGTATGTGAGTGAACTCCTCATTAACAGCTGGACTGCTCTTGTTAAAATTTTGTGAGTGATTAAGTTGATTCGATAATGGTTTAAATTTACAATTGTAGCTAGTAGGCGGCGCTGTTTCGAGATCCAGAAATCACCCATGTAAAGCTGGGGTGAATAGCTAATACAAATATCCTCTCGTCTGTGAGGTGGCAGATATCAAACAGAAAAAAAAGCTGCATCTGTGGGCAGGCTGAATTCTTCCATTACTATACAGTCGTATTTCACGACAAAAATCATATGTTTATTTATCTTTCTAAGTGCATTAAGATTCACGATCTTGTTCCCTATGAACTTGGTATATGGTATACATTAATACTAGCAATTTCTAAAGAATGTTAAAATGTGGAGGTCACTTTTGTATACCCTCAGATTAGTTGGTTTAGAATGAAAGTTTTAAACATTGTTTTGCTGAAAAATTTGTATGAAGAGCATTGGTTTTTTGTGATAGATCTGTTAAAATATGTACTGTTGAAGTGATTAAATGCTTATTATAATTAAACATTTGTTTATATCTATTTTTTACATATAAATAAACACAATAAAAAAATAAAAATAAACTACTAATAATTACATATTAACATATTTATTATATTATTGCATTTCTACGATTTGAAGAAATAGGAACAGAAACTAATTCTGAGTAATGGATAAAGAAAATAAAACCTTAATATAAAATAGAACTGGAGATATTATAGTTTTTACAAACTTAGGGCCAAAAATAAGCCAAGTCTGTGATGAGGCTGAATTCAGCCACCACAAACATGACCCTTTCTATTTTGATTTCCTCACAGACGAGAGGATATATAATCACTGGTGTGTAAGTTAGCAATCATGTAAGTTCTGGAGAGTTGACTGATTGTGATAATATTCATACAATATATTTGTTTTACCAAGACCATGGTTCATATCTATGTTAGGATCTGATAGATAATAAAAAAACTTCGGTTAAACTATAGACGTCTGGTAATCGCGTACGGTGTTAGGAGGGGGAGAGGGGGTCATGGGAAGCCCCCTATACTTTTCCCCCATTGCAGAAATGTATAGTTTATGATTAATATATTTTTTTTTTGTAAATTTATAACCTCACTTTTTTATACAGGAATATTGACACAGTTAGTTATGCAACGGCCGTACGGTGACGGGAGGGGGAGGAGGGAGAGGGGATCATGGGAAACCCCCCTACCCTTCACCCATTACGGAAATATAGTTTATGAGTAATAATTTTTTTTGTAAAATCATAACCTCACTTTTTTATACAGGAATATTGACGCAAAGTTACTTCTGCAATGGCTTCGGCACTGCGGGAAGTGCAGCTCCTTCGCCCTTGCGTAGCAAATCGTAGGCACCCATGCTCGCCTTCGCAGCTTCAGCTTATTGGTCCCCTTTGGCGACCAGCCTCAGCCCTGCCAGCGATTTGCTACAGCGGGCGAGGGCTGCTCTCCCTCCATGCCTATGGCTTTACAAAAACACTCTAGGGGTAGGGCAGACAAGACTATGTGGAGTCGGGGTGTGCTAATTTGATTTTAGAACCGATTCGACCATTCTTATCTATAAAGTCTGTTGCCCTAAACTCTGCTATGATAGTGATAAATGAAATAATGTAATGTGCATTGTTATAATTTTGTTTTCTGAAAAACCTCTTGACTGCTCTCCACTGCAACTCAATTTGTTGTATATAAGTCCCGTCTCCAGCCACAAATGGATTGTCTGGGTCCGAGTTATTAACTTTTTTATGAGTGTATCTGTGTTAAAAAAAAAACAAATTGACATATTTGCGTTTCGTTATTGCAATTTTTAGTGAAATTTATTTTTTCGTAATTAATTTAAAATGCATTTCCGAAATCCAAAAACAGTGTAAATGGCTCAAGCTTAACCCTGACAAACCTCCTAAATTGAAAACAAAATTAAAAAATCAAGTACAGGACATCTACTTCATAATACGAAAACAAATTGACATATTTGTGTTTCCTTATTACACAATTTTTAGTGAAATTTGTTTTATCGTAATTAATTCAAAACCCATTTCCGACATCTAAAAACAGTGTAATAGGTTCAAGCTTAACCCTAACATGCTTGCTAGACTAAAAATATTATCAAAATCAAGTACCGGATATCTATAGCCAACCCAAAACTTATATATTTTTGGAACTAATATGACAAAACAATAAACCCACACCCCATAATATTGTATTTATTATTGTACAAAATCTGAAGCGAATTTGGAGCAAAACTCATCATGCCACCCACTGGAAAGGATAACACATTGTTATGTGTTCTCCTGTTGGGCAATTTTATAAAATTACAAATGTCTTTAATCATTTGTTTGTCAAAAATTTATGCATAAAATTTTTGAAGTTCTGTATTAGTCAGAATTTACAAATTTTTAATATACTTCTTCAAAATAACAGCAAATACATAAGAATTGTTTTAATTTGTAGAATCTTCTGATTAATGGAACAAACTTAACAAATAGCACAAGTTGTAATATATTAACATGACCTTTGCTTATGCTGTTATATTAAGTGATAAACAAATATACAATTCAAATGTGTGCAGCAGAGATTTATACTGTATAATTATTAATAGAAATAATTTACAGATAATCACCACATAAGACATTAAATCGAGCTGAAATTTAAAATATATCTGGATAGTTAAATATGCCTATATTTATTAGGCTTTTTCATTTCTTTGCAACAGAAAAGACGTAATTTTAGAACGAATGGCTAATATTCGTTATTATTTGAAGTGGGTACATAAAAATTGCACGAACTGATAATAACCTCGTTACAAGTTTATCGTCGACCTGTTTTAGCATTTGGAATATATTGAAAAGAATCCTAAATGCAAAAATCTGCTAAATACATTGATTTGACCTTCGAGTCGTAATCAACAATCGAAATCATCTGATCACACAAACAAATTAGCAATAGTCCATTTATGTATATGTTCTTGTGTTTATGTGGTGTATATACAAGGAAAACCCTTTGCGAGAACCTTCTTTTAGTAACAAATTTAGAGCAGTAGTGAAATCATAAAGAAAAAGGTTAAAATGATTGCCTCAAACATTACAATAACCAAACACTGGCACTATGCTATTATTACATTAAAACACTATAAGAACTAATAACCAAACTAAGGACAAAAACATTGCATTTACCGTCGGAGTTCGAACGATAAAACATCTTCGACTTATTTCCGATTCCCGAATCCGATTCGCCCTTGTCTATCGGGCGCTAAAAGTCAGCACTTACCGGCCATGACAAAGCCCAGCACAAAAATTTTAAGAAGTTCAATAGTTTTATTACACAATCACTTCAATATTTTATTAAAACATCACACATAACTCCCGATGAAAACTGATTAGAATCATTTCAACATTACATCGGTAAAAAGCAATGGCGCTCAGAAAATTCAGAAATACACACAATAATTACTGCAGAGACGAGTGTTGCCACTGTAAAATAAAATCGACTTAAAAACTACTACAACTACTATGATACTAATACATAATACAGAAAAAATAATTAAAAGTCCGGCAACTTGAAAAACATTTAGTGAGCAAATAATTATTATAAATTATTGAATTTTTGTATGAGTTACTTAATTATCCCTTAATTATCATACTTGGTAAATAAATTCTGATCGAAACTTTAGCTTCGGTTTTTCTTATCCTCTGCTAAAATCAGCCCAAAAACATTTGTCCTAAACTGAAGTTTAGATTAGGCCGCTAAAATAGTTTTTTTTTTCTAAGAATGACGTCAGCGCGACGTGTGTTATTTGCCAGAACAGTGCCGGTGCGTGTCAGTTTGTTGATATATTATAATTATCGATGATAGCAAGCGCAAAAAGGATTTGTCATAAACCACATACCTAATTCCTGATAAATATCAATCATAATGTTCCAGGGCTGATTAAATGTACTATGATTATTGTTACATTATTTCGATTAAAAATTTAAAGAAAACCAGTTTTTTATATGAACTTTTATTTTTTTGTAAATTTGCCCTTTGAATGCCCATTATGTACACTGAATATTTACATTTTAAAGTTTAAAAAATAAAAATACGGACTCTCAATCTTCCTCGGAAAACTATCGTTCATTCTGTGTAATATATACTGTGTATAGGGAAATAAAAATAGAAAAAAAGATGAGAAGACAAACCTATTCTTAATGAGGTTTTCAAAACGCCTAATAAATGTAGTAAATACAGAAAAAAAAAGGTTTTATTTTAAAACCAAAAAAAAGTAAGAATGTTTAGGATTAAATGCCAAAAAAATATTGAAATTTATATTTTGCAGCATAGGAAAATAAATAGACGATAGACTTAACGGATGAATAAAATAATCACACGTGTCTTTTTATTCAACCAATTGTTGAGATGATAGTCGACACAAAATGGCTTCGACCTTTAACGGTTTGTAGTTATTTGTTTATTGTAGTGGCGGGTAAGAATATTCATTACCCCATAGCATACAGTGGATGTCGTAAGAGACGACAAAGGAAAACAAACAGGAGATGGGTAGCAACGCCTAATAACAACTAAAAATAGAAAAGACTGCGGTTAGCGGTAAGCGTGGCTACTAAGGCAAATACCCCCCACGAGGCAGTATATGAGGAAGGCCTATATTCAGCAGTCGAGTTTAAGTGAAGACAATCAACGATTGACGAGGACGATGTGCTGTTGTAAAACGTCGAGAACGCTTCGTATTGAAATCGGTGATAATTCCATTAGTTTATTTGTGAACTGTAACTGCCTTAAAACTATTCCCTTATTAAATCACGAGCAGATCTATTGGGTAAATTTTTATCTCTTTTTTTATAATATAATTAGGTTTTTTTTAATAATATAATTTATAATTTATAAATAGGGTCAAATTAACGAATGTTATTAAAAACTTGCGATTTATACAATACTACATTTCTACTAAAAAGGCACATATTTTTTAATTATAGCAACAATTTTGTCATAACCTTCAAAATAGATGTCTAACCAACACACAACACAATTTAGTGCCGCCATCTCTTGTCACATTTCAAAATGTATTTAATGTTTGACAGCGTAACGTTATTAACGTTTTTAATTCAAATTGCGTTTGTAAATAACATTGAATTTTTAGTCGCATTTTTAATATATTTAATGTATGTATGTACATAATATATTTATAAGCAAAATGCTGCAAAATGCAAATGGCCATTTTTGAAAATGAAAATACGAGTTAAGTACCACAATGCGTAATCACAAAGTAGGTACCTACATACACGTAATTTATTTTTTCATGTGTTGTTTGTTAGACATGGTACAACGGGTAATATACTCTGGATAAATTACTTAAAGTTATCTAAACATTGTTTAAAGTTTGCATGCTGTATGTTTTCATTAAAACTTAAGAAGTTATCAGTCAGTAAACCGTGAGATTTGATCCTAAAATTATATAGGTACTTAGTATCACAGACTAAGTAGTTTTTTAGCGAACCTCTTACATATTATTCTCATATTCAGTAAGCTAAGTGTATTGCGGCCCTCCACTAGACGGAGTGACGACCTGGTTAGACACGCAGGAAGTCGATGGATGCAGGTGGTTCAGGACCGTGCTTTGTAAAATTCTTTGGGGTGAGGTCTATTTTCAGCAGTGAATGATGATGACTTTTTACGTGGTAGAGCCACACTGCAGCTATTATGGTTGTAGCATAAATAAGTCGGCTCGACCGGGGAAGGACCACGCTCTCACAGAATACCAGCGTAAAAAAGCAGCTTAATGCTGCTGTTTCGTTTGGTGAGTGTAGAGAACCGGAGACCCATTTTACTAGAATCGAGGCATTCCATATTAGTCCTCAAAGGTGACAACGCATCTGCATCTTGATTCTTAAGCGAGGTTGAATGTAAATGTCTGTGGGTCACAGCATCCACTTACCATCAGGTGGACTGTGTGCTCGTTTGTCACTCTAATTCTATAAAAAAAACCTTGGAACTGCCATGGGTTTCTGCCAATGTTATTTTTCAGTCATTTTTATTGAATATTTGAAGATATCAAGCGGCAAACTTATTACTTTAAAGTTTTTTTTTTTCGGTTATTTTTTACACATTTTACGTCTGAGCGTTTCTATAAAACCGCCGATCAAACCAAAGAGATCCTATTTCATGTACCTCAGGGAACTAACTGAAAAAAAAACGTGAAGTTTATTGAAATACCGTAAGTCTACCGCTCAATGGCTCTTAAACTATGGGTATATACTGCAAAGAGTATATAATCAGTACTTTTGAGACGTTTGACCGTTTGACCTAGTGATTTTTTAAACTCTTTGTCAGTCAGTTATGACTAACTCAGTTATAGGGTGCGTTTGGCAGAAAAAGCGCTAGCAAGCGCTTACAAGCGCTGAAATAGTTTTCGGCCAGGACACGATACTACTTCAGTAGCGCTGACACAATCCGCCATTTTGCTTATTTAATTTGTTTGTTTTGAAGTAGAGTTTTTAAGTTGTTTTGTGCAATATTAGTTTTAAGTAATATAATAACGTGAATAAACATATACATGTTATTAAAAATTCATGATTGGTAAGTTTTTAATATGAATACTTTACAAACATATATTTAAATTAGGTTAGGTTCCTCGGTTAAAGCTAACTTCGTGTCCTAGAGGAAAATAGCTACATACGATTTGACAGCGCTTACCGCTTACGATCGCCATTTTGCTTACAAGCGCTTGCCAGCGCTTTTTTCTGCCAAACGCACCCATAGTCTAACTCACAACATGCGTAGTATCCTCTTAGTAGTCTGTGCTCACAACTTTATGGTCGCTAACGTCAAACACTGTAATTGGAAATCTCAGACGGCGATTATAACTAACACAGATTGGCAAAGTTTTATTACTGTTCATTGTTATACCTACTTCATACGTATATGCACATAGGTATTTGTTTTTGCAGAATCATAGTGTTTTCAAAAATGAGTGAAGACCTCATGTTTGATCCAGTATGTATTAATTACCTACCTAGTACTATCATTGACATATATTACTAGCGTAAGGACTGGGACGACCGAACAACTAAAACGGACCTATACGCTGGCCCTAAAATTACAGTTTAGGGCCAACGTGAATCGGTCGACAGTGGTGCGCGCGCAGGACAGATTTGCCTGTCACAAATGTCTAGTTGCGTGGTAAAAGAATGCATAAATTACGATACAAAGATTTGAAAAAAAAAACATGGGATATCGTATCATCGGTAAATAACCTTATATTAATTTTGTTACGATTGAATTATTATATAAACGCATTTTTAAAGTTTTATTTTACAGTTAGTTTAGATACGTTACCAAGATCAGGCCAGGGTTGGATTCAGATCCTCAAAAATATTATACATGGAAAATAAAATTATACTATTTAAAAAAAATTATATCACGTTTGACGTTTCATGTTTCTTTTTTCCAATGTGGCGGGATTTTGGCGTCACGCGTCTAGTTTATCTATACGTTTCGTTTTTTGACGGTTTTATTTTTATTTCTGTTTAATTTTTTCTAAAGAACTTAGTGTAAGTTAAATTTTGAATATTGGTATCTACCTAATATATTTTATATTCAATTAGACTAAAACCCCCCTCCTCCCCTTCCCCTCGGACATCCGAGAAGTGCAAACGTGTTCAAGAAATTATGTGTTAATTTTATTCAATTAAGTAAAGTTAAAAATCTACTTCCAATAATGAGTGTGAGAGTGAGAGGAGTGCATAACTGAGATGACAACGTTTGTGTGTTGGATAAAATGTACGAGTGTGAGCTTTAAGAACACGTCACGCCTGTATCTATTTTTTTTTTTGCGCCCGAAGCAATTAAAGGGCTACCCTATACGTAGGGAGGCGGAAAATGCATTACGCATACCACGATAGCCGGTATATCGTGGTTATGAGGGGCTCACTGTCCTACCGGGGACCCTAAGTGATACCCTCTAAAAACCGCCTTTGGGGACAGGCAACCGGCTGATTAAGCTCTATTGTGCGTTATCATGAGCGACCCTCTTTTGGGAAAAGAGGGCGCAGACCAACCTGTATCTATGTGAGTAACCCTGTATTTATATCAAAATAAAGGACAGAAAATTGTTTACTTACACTAATAACCCGAGTCAAAAAGAATAAACAATATTATTGGAGCGTGGATCAAAATAAACCAGACGTAAAGAATATTTGTATGAATTCGTCGATTGCGGCCATTTATTTCAGACCTCTCTGGTAACACATTGTTTACCAGACACCGTGTATAGTACGGCGTATTCGGTTATAATTAAACGGTAATAGTGGTCATATTCCTCAAGCAAAGCTTTCATATAGACTTTACTAAGTATTTATTTCCTCCTGCGACCCTGGTACTATAACACAATGCCTGTCGATCGTACGCCGCCTAAGACGCTTGTGCACTCGGATCACTCTGCGTCTGACCCAAATATCTGCACAAAGCTTGATGAGCCAGAACCTTGTACAATTACCAGCCGACCTAAAATGAAAAGGGAAGAAAGTATAAGACAATCAGAATTTATTGAATTTAAAAAAGGAATTCATAAAAATGTTAACTGAATTTAAAGAAGAACAACGGTTATACCTTGCATCTATTAGTTCTAACGTCGACGAAATCAAATCGCAAAACAACAAATTACAGGAGTCCGTGGAATTCATGTCTAAAAAATACGATGAGGTAATACAAAAAATTTGCCATCTTGAGGAGGAGAGAAAAGAAGATCGGAAGTATATACAAATTCTAGAAGAAAAGGTTGAACACTTGGAACGCCAGTCCCGATCAACCAGTTTAGAAATAAGAAATATACCAAAACAAGCATCCGAAAATAAGCAAGATTTGACTGGTATTATTATTAACTTAGGTAAAGCCATTAATGTCCAGTTCCAGCCATCAGAAATCAAGGATGTGTTTCGAGTCAATTCCAAGACAACCAATAAACCAATAATTGCAGAGTTCTCAAATGCCTTAATAAAAGATAAATTTCAAAAATCAATAAAAACTTTTAATAAGATTAACAAGGATGATAAGCTTAGTACCCGTCATTTAAATCTAAACGGTCCAAAAACTCCTGTCTATATATCGGAAAGTCTCACATCCAAGAGTAAGCGTTTATTCTACCTGGCAAGAGAATTTGCGTCGACATACGGTTATAAATACTGTTGGACTTCATACGGCAAAATATTGTTGCGTAAAGAAGATGGATCCACGCTAATAAGAATTAATAGTGAAAGTGATATAAACAAACTAAAAAGTAAAAAATGACTATATATTTGTTCAAAAATTATTAATTTTTTAGTATTTTTCCATAACCATATATTTTTTAAAATGTCTTTTCTTTGTAATTTTTACTATTATTTTTCTTTTATTTTATATAATTTTAATCAAAACACAGAAAAATATGCATGTAACACACTACACACAAACACAATCAGTACAAGCATACTATTTACAACTACTCGTAGTTTTGTACCCAAAATCGACTGTTCAAAAAAATTGTCCACGTATCTATATTCTAGCACTGCATTATTACCTAAAACAGAGTATAGGCTAAAAATGATGTTTGAGTATCGATACTGCCTTACAAACTGTAACAAATTACATCAGATATTATCATCAAACCCCAAAACTGGTCATATATATATTATTTCACTTAAGTAAAAACGAAAGAAATAAATAATATGTTTATTAGCGATGAACTAGAAAGCCTACTAAAACCTTCATGTTTTAAGGTGGAGGACCCTGCTAAGTGTTGCACCATTCTAAATTTAAATAATAAAGATCCCTTAAGTATATTAACAGTAAACATCCGAAGTGTTAATAGGAATATTGACAACCTGCTTATATTCATTACGCGACTACAGATAAGACTTGATGTTATTGTGCTTACTGAGTGTTGGATAGGTGAGGACAGAGAGGTACCCTCAATTACAAATTACAAGGTATTCCGTACAAATAAATCAATAAACCAAAATGATGGTGTAATTGCTTATATTAAACAGCAGATTGTAGTAGATGCCTACGAACCTGCCCCAAGTGATGGAAACTTTTTGATCTTAAGCTTCGGTTCGGAATACACTATAATTTGTTCGTATAGACCTCCTTGTTTCAATAATCTCACAAACTATTTGGATGCTTTAAATGCTATACTATGTAACCTTGATTGTTCAAATATTATTCTTACAGGGGATATTAATTTGGATATTTTACCTGGCAACCTTTCTCGTTACTCATCTGAATACATAAGTATCCTCTTATCTCATGGTCTATTGCAATGCGTTAATTTACCCACGAGGAAAAACGCGTGCTTAGATCACTTTATGGTAAAAAGCATGAAGGCAATTAAAACGATTGTTTTTGATGAATTAACCGATCACTGTCCTATACTCTTATACATAGAACAAGCGGAATTCGAAAAACGAAACATAAATAACAAAAAATTACTATTAGATTTCGATAACTTAAACAAAGTTTTAACGCATTTAAATTGGGTAGATTTATATAATGAATTTAACGTAAACTTAGCGACAAATATTTTAATTAATACTCTAAAGAAAGTTATTAATACTAACAGTAAAGTTGTCAATATTTCAAAAAGAAACAAGCCACTAAAACCATGGATTACCCCAGGAGTAATAAGATCTATTAAAAAGAGAGATAGGCTTCATAAAAGACTAAAAAAATTACCCGAAAATGATGAAATAAGAGAAGTATACAAAAAATATAGGAATATATGTACAAACATTATTAAATCGTTAAAAGGCAGTATTATCAAAATGAACTAAAAAGAAACCTAGGCAATTCAAAAAACACTTAGAAATTAATAAAAGACGTATGTTATTTAAATCAACTTAGAAATATATCCGCCGAATTATGTAAAATTGCTGAAACACCAAAAGTATCTCTCAACATAGTTAATAATTTCTTTATATCAATTGGAAATCATTTGGCCAATACTATCCTAAAAAAATTAAATAAAACTGACCTTCAACTTGCTAGGGAAGCTAATAAAATTGGTCCAGCCTAATCTATGTCATTATTTTTGACAGATCCGGAAGAAGTTAGACTCATAATTAGTAGCCTTAAATCAAACTGTGCTTCGGGATGGGATGACATTTCTGTAGGTTTTTAAAAAAAATTTAACACCTTGTTAGCACCCCACATAGCCCATATATGCAACTTAAGTTTTCTATCTGGTGTTTTTCCGGATCAATTTAAACAAGCAATAATCTGTCCAATATATAAAGCAGGAGACAAATCATCTCCATCAAATTACAGGCCTATAGCTCTATTATCATCACTTTCTAAGATACTAGAGAAGCTTGTAAATAGGCGACTAATTAAGTACCTAGAAAACAACAAATTCCTTCCTGGAAATCAATATGGCTTTAGAACACTTTGACCACTAAAATATCACAATATCTAGATGAAGGTAAAAAGTGCTTAGGAGTTTTCTTAGATTTGCAAAAAGCATTTGATACAGTATCCATTCCTGTCCTTATAACCCGTCTTCAGAATTTTGGCATTCGAGGAATAGCATTGGACTGGTTTATTGATTATCTCTCCAACAGGAACCAAAAAGTACGTATTGATGACTGCCTCAGTGACACTGCTATCTGCTCACATGGAATTCCGCAGGGCAGTACACTGGGACCAACTCTCTTTTTGGCGTACATTAACGACTGTGTCACTTAAATATTCGTGCTGCAGACCTTTTCATGTTTGCAGATGATACAGTCTTACTTTTTCATGGTCCAAGTTGGGATGCTGTTAAAAAATCTACTGAGGAAGGACTGTGTAAGGTTACTAGTTGGCTGGAAGATAACCTGCTTACATTAAACACCACTAAAACAAAATTTCTATGTTTTTCAAAAACCGCTGTTTGTAATCCACGAAACGAATTTAAAATAATAATTCACACGCATGCTTGTAATAGAAACTTTAACACTCATTCGGCATGTGAGTGTCCCACT